TTATGGTTTACGGTCCGACTTGGTTCTGTATCGGACTATCCGGAGCCCTGGTACATAATAATATTTCATTTGCGGTAACTGGATGTTTGGACAATCATTGGTATTTTAACAAATTCAGTAGTTTCGATATAAATATCTTCCTTCTTACACATACGTCTGCGACATTTTTGATGCCCGTCAGTTGTCATTGCTTTAGACCAATGTAAGCCGTCACTAATGATTCACCTAAAAGAAAACAAATAACCGATACATTGTAGAATAACAATATCTAACATAATCATCAAGTTTTACAAAATTCGCAAGAAAACGGACGGATTGTGATCCCATAAAAAAACGGAATAATGTAATTTCATAAATCAGCTATATTGTGTTAAATTGCTGTGATCTAAACCCGGATGTTCAGATGATATCATTCGTGAATTTGGCAGTGTCGCTACAACAACAAAGTATTATACGCAAAATGGAGAAAGTTAGGAAATAAGAAAGGTGTGAATGGCGCTAGTAGTAACTAGAGTGCAACTGTACAAAGGGAAAAGGAGATACAGAGTCAAATAAAGTGAAGAAGTACGAAACATCATAATTCTTTTTGATGTTCTTCTATGAATACTTAGAATAGAACACGATGAACCATTGTGCCGATATTAATACCGTTTATATAACGCGTTTGCCAACGTCGCTGTTTTCCATTATAATGCTTGAAAATGATCGTAAAGCAGAGAGGAGAAAATGTATACTTCTTAGAGTACTGCGGAACAGCTTCGAATCCCGACTCGTCTGCCCCGTCCAGCGCGACAAACAGGTTCGGGACAACAAATAACTTTACGGGCTTTGGCTTACGGACTCGGGCTTAGGGGGTCGGGACAAGCTGCAGAAAAATGTTGTCCGTCAGTTTTATCTTTTGGTTGTAATTATGCTGCAACTTCAAATATTGAATTCTTGTAATACTATCAAACCAACGATGTTTGATATTTAAAATTCGATTTACAGTTCATTCAATCACGAGGTAGTGAATGGATATAAAACATTTTTTATACGACAACTTTTAAGTTTAGCATCAAATGAATTTGGCTTAAGGTTTCTCATGCAGCAAGAATAAGTTTAAGACTTCAAGCGTTGACTCTGTCGACTTAAAAATGGAAAGTACTTATATGGTTAGAATCAGCAGACTTTGGTCTATCAGAAACTATTTTAGGGCAGCCGTCAAAAACAATGAAATGCGTAGAACGTAGACGTAGACTATATTCTACTCGTAGATATAGATGAATATCGTCCTCTCGCCTTTCTTTTCTCTGATTTGCAGAAAGAGAAAGAAAGAGAAAAATCTGTTTTGGTTGCAGAGTGGAAGAAATTTTTTTTTTAACATTGAGATCATTTGTTCCTGGAAAAAGATTAACAAACAAGACTCATGTAAAATGCACATAACACAAGTAGATCATATTAGTAGAAGACGGATAGAAAGAATAGGTGAAATGATTTAGGAATAAGAAATTCAGTTTTATCCTAAATTACGCACAAATCAAGAAGCAGAAAAATGTAAAACTAAACAGAAATCCAAAACTTCTATGTTTAACAAATACACACGTTTAAAAAAACATATTTAGGGTGATAAGTTAAAGTATTTGTATAGAAAAAATTGAACTAGTGTTGATGTTTTTTTTATAAACGCTATATTGCTGTTTTTGAATGTTTATGAAGTTGAGAACGTCTATATTCGTGTGATGTGCTCTGTCAGTAAGCCTCCGAGGAAACCTACTGTTTTTGCGGAAATCACTCGCTCTATATCATTCCCTCGTTGGCTGGGTAGCAAAATCTGATACGCAGTCGAGGTTTGTTGATAGACAAGTGGCTCAGGAGACTCAGAGAGATGCTTATATAACCCTAACCAATATCGTAGTAAGTAATCTCTCAGGATCAGTTCTCTAGATATTAGCATTGTTATAAGATCATCCCGGTTCCACAATCTGTATACGAGTCTAACCCTACGATATAAAGATGTTCAATTTGCAGTTTTTGCTTTTAGGTGAAATAGAAAAAAAAATTGGAAAGAGTAAACAGGAGTGGGGTAGTGCATATGCAAATAAAAGCTTTCTTCTCATAGATACGTAGGATTTCAGTATAGAACGAAATTTTACATTTAGACCATTGTAAATTTTATGTATTTTCCTTAACTGATTAAAAATATCGGAATCACCTTCACGGTAGTTATTTTGACCCTTATAAAAATTAGAATTTGTGACAAACGCTGTAGTTGTAGGACTGTTATCCGGTAGACTTATGTATTCTCCTAAAATGCTATAAACTTGCTAACCTTCTTTTTTGAATTCAAGAAATAGTTGTCAGAACTTGAAATAAAACAGTTGATTTCATAAACGATGTAACCGAATTACTAGCTTGTATACTTATATTTTGATTAGATTTTACTACCTAAGAAAAGGAAAAAAGTAGCATCTAAAGCACCTTTTTGTTTCTAAGTATAAAAACCTCAAACAAGTTTAATATAGAACATTTTTGAAACAACTTACTGTCTCCATTAAGTGCACTCTTACGTTCTACAATAAATTTGTTCTTATGTTTTTCTCGCTCTTAGAGCAAAAAAAGTGCTCTAGATGCTACTTTTTTCCTTTTCTCAGATAGTAAAATCTAATCAAAATATAAATATATAAACTAGTAGTTTCGGTTAGGGAAGCCGTCAAAAATAATGGAATGCGTAGAACGTATACTTTTTTCTGTGTAAATAAGGAAAAAACTTCGTTTACATGTAACTGTTTTCTTTGCCACGCAGAGTGGAAATTTTATTTCTTAACCTTGACGCGCTGACAGTCGATAATGAGAATGTACGTATTATCTTTTGAGATAATAACTTGTTACATTCGAGGAAATACTTGAGTATGTATATAAAGTAATCTAGAATGGATTGGTTCAAGTTTCTTTCTCCAATTAAGATCCAATGGGGTGAGGGTGGGTGTTGAGGGTGGATGTGAGTCAAGCATACCAAGACTAGTTTCGTCCAGAGATGGGCAAAGAGCAACTTTTTTGTACCCTGCCCTGTCCTGTTAAAAAAAATGCATAAGAAAAAAAACGTGCCCTGCCCAAAGGGGAAACAGCGGACTCCAGACGCATGGAGTCATTTGGAGTCAAGTGGAGTCAAGTGAAGTCACTTGATGCATTGGAGTTAATTGATGAGGTGAAATCAGGTGATAGGGTGGAGCCCACGAGAGAAATAGCAGACTAGATAGGATCCCAGTCTTGTGAAGTCACTTGGAGTCAACTAGAGTCACCTGATGTGGTCTACTCAGAAGGTAAAATAAAAGATCCTATGAGATTCGATGGAGTCTGATGGACTCCGGGGATGTAATGGCGTATTTCAACTGTGAAGGACATTAGCTTTTCAACCAGCTCTAGCTTCCTTGAGCTGTGAGCTAGTATGAACTCGTTAATGGTTTATTCCCAAAACAGAACAAAAGTGTTCCATTTTCGGAAAAACATTCCCATAGCAGCAGATTTTGTTCTGGTATGGGAATTGACGCCCTTTAAAAGTAAATTTGTTCTGTTTTTTGGGAATCGAATTTCATAACACGACATTTTTTCTAGCATGGGAATACAACAATGACAAGTTTTTAAAAAAAGGCTAATAGACCCGGTCAGATATGACTTGTCTGGAGTTGGGTGGAGTCAGTTGAAGTCATTTGGAGTCAAGTGGAGTCAGTTGGCGTGTTGAAGTCTGGAGTCCGCTGTTTCCCCCTTGGCCCTGCCACATATTCTGAAGTAATAAAAAATGTGACCAATGTCAGCTACAAACACTGTCGTCGGATCCACACCGGCTGATGCGCTTCCTGAAATAGTCCAAAACGGACTGAATCATGCACTCACAGTTAAGAATGAAGCTATGGATGGCATCCAGTGGTTCATCAACTGGATTCGTAAATATGTCACCGCTTTTTTCAATCATCATCTTTCTGAACAAATTAACTTTTAATCTTTATCACAACTACTGGAATAATAATACATAAACACACGTCTCCAATGATAACTAGATAGCAATTGGTAAATATATAAGCAGAAAACTCCGCTAAAATTTCAAAGCTGCGAGTTCATTTCCCCTTTTGCACAAGAGTATCATAATATAAACTCGTAAAGCCAGTTCTTTCCTACTATTAATATCAATCTGTTAAATGATGTTTTTCGTCCAATGTACTTCCAAGATGTTTTATTTGAATAAAAATACTGTTTCTTATGATTTATCAGAGAAAAAGATGTTACTTTTTCGACGCCATGGGACAGCGTTTCAACAGATCGAATCCATACAATAAATCACTGTCATTAGGATTGTAGTGTTGTTTCTCCTGTACGTTTGATAGTCGAAAGCCCGACACAGAAAACCCTTGGTTGGCTGGACTTCTAGTGTGAAAGAGTCTGATTGGTCAAAAGTCCGAGCTTCGAAATATCTGATAAACTGGAACTCTCCGCAAATATGCATACGCTATGTCACGAAATTCTTAAGTAAAGTATTGAAAATTGTCTAATCGATGTACTGTGCGTAACGAGTTTTCTGTGATGTGCGTAACACGCATAACGAGATAATTGAGATATGTCGTCCGTCAAACTAATGTTTTGCGCTGTGTGCACCACCATCTGTCACTCTGCATATCTATTGGATAATCGTCATAAATAGCAGGTGTTTCGACAGACAGCCACATTGAGCGGCATTTAACGCTTGCAAGATCTCCTCTGCTATAGAGAAAATTTTTATGCACTTAAGTGGAAATAAACTTTTCGACCACCGTAAAAGTCGCTCATACTCATTTCCTGATTCCCCATAGTGGACCACCTATAGTCTATGGAGTACGCAAGTATGACTCATCGTTTATCGTCCATTTGCAGAGGGCACGGTGAAGAGGAAAACCATTATTTTTGAACTGAAAGAACGTGCTAACAACGGGAGGAGGGGTGAAGCTGCGGCGGCTAGAGAACGACGAGTTATAGAGATTTTGACGAAGGGTTCAAATGATAACTACACGTGCCAGAGTGTCGAAAAGAATTTGAACCACAGCTGTTACTTCATCATATTGTTTAGAGGCATCGGTATAGATCAAAAGCATAGTTGTGTTATCAATTTTTTCTAGCAAGTCTTGATGATACAGAAGTCGTGAATGTAGAGTTATTGCTTTAATCATCTGTCTCCTCATCAGCCTAAAATATACAGGTAACAAATTACAGAACACTTCTAGAGATGAGAGTGCTACAGTCTGCCTGGAGGTTCCAAGTGCTGTTGCCAATGTCAGTTTTTGTAATTTCAACAGTGGCTTTAATGCCCCTTTTGTAACGTTCGCCCACACACAAGCTGATAAATCTGTTCTCGGTATGATCATTGTTCGATACAATTGTAACATCATATTAGCATTTAATATTCCATTTTTCCGAAGGATATTTTTCAAATATGCCAAGTATCGTGTGCCATTCTTAGCTGTTTGTTGTATATGTGGTTTAACTGTCAGAAATTCATCTATAATCAATCCTAAATATTTTACTTTTCTTGACGGCACAATTGCATACCCGTTTAATGTCATAGAATTTGTCAATGATTTATTTTTCGTGTTTGATTGCATGTGAATCATTCCGTTTTATCCACCTGAAACCCCAAATTCATCTTCTCTAAAATCACTACTAAATTTTTTAAATAGAATTTTATTCTTCTGGTGTTGATTTTGGTCTTTGTACTCGATATAATAATTGCAATTGATTCTATATCGTCAGGATATAGAAGACAGGGCTGATCCTTGCGGAATCCCATAATCAATTTCAGTATCAAAGTGGTATGACCATTTAGGTTAACAAAGGCTGTTCGTTCCACGCAGAAGTCATTAACGATATCAATTATGTTTGTGCTAATTTTCAACTGATGCATTTTCTGAATTAGCAACTCTCGATTCACTCAGCCTGATGCCACAAATGTTGCGGTGGTAAATGAGACCGTTCTGTTTTGCTTGTTGAATTTTATATATGAGATATAGATGGGCAACCTCTGCGCTTACACCACGTCTGAAGTCAAATTGTTGTGGATGGAATATTTGTTTGCAGTGGCATTCTTTACTCAACATTTTCATGATGATTTTTTCTAGTACCTGGCCGAAGATATCTAACAGACATATGGCTCGGTAGTTCTCAGGAGAATGTATGAATTTCTTTCTTTTCTTTGCCACTGGTACAATCTTAGCTGTTTTTCATCTGGCTGGATAATAGCCTACCCTAAAACAGTTGGAACACACATTAAACAACAGATCAGAGAACAGAGTACCGCTCTTTTGTATCATTACCATTTGAATAGTGTTTCGTCCTCCTGATTTTGTTGGTTTTAAATTTCGTAAAAGAAATTCTCTTTTTGGAAGGAACCCAGTTTTATTCCTGTTGTTGTGATCGTTCTTTCTCACTCCTCTTGATTGCATAGTATTAATCGACGGAGCCCATTTTTCCTGAGATTTCTGACTCACAAAAATTGATTCAACAATGACTCAGCCATTTGGGTTACATTTGTGTTTTTCTTGGCATCAATATATAAATAGGGTATGTTAGTTGATTTTTTATTTCTTAGCACTGATTGTATATGATGCAATTCGGGAGCGGCAGCTGGTTTCACTGGTATGTGATGTGCTTTACCGTCTCTAATCATCTCTTTCAATTTAGATTTTGTACAATTGTTTCAGGGCTTTATTAATGTACACTTTCAACTTCTTTAACTCACTGGTCATTGTTGTGCATACGATTTTTTATTCTTGCTGCCACCTCTAAGTATTTTGAACACAACGCTGAGTCAGCTGGATGAGCCAGATTACAATTGCTACATGTCATATCATTCAATGAGCAATTCTCATCTGAATGTTCTCCACCGCATATTTTATATCTCGTTTTTACCCGGCAAGCTGTTACTACATGACTAAATTTCCAACAGTTTGTGCATTAAACCGGCTTTATTCGATTCTGATACTGCTGAATTACACAAAGATGACTTTCAATATATAGATGTTTCAAGTTCAAGAGTCTCTGTTTTAGCTCTTCCGTTTCTACTATCAACCGGACAGATATTATATGTGGTACTGGAAAGACATCCGTTCGAACTAGTCTGTTTATTTCTATGACATTCAGAGAAAAATTTATGTTCGGGTTTGCTGCTAAAATATTTTGTACAAAAGCATCATCGTTGATAACATTAGGAACATCTTTCAATACCACGCTAAAATTATCTTTTGGCTCATAGACATTGAAATTACCACCGAATGTTGTTTTATCCTATTGTCCTTTTTTAAAGCTTTTCAGCATCCGCTGCTGAATTTCTCTCGTAGTAAACTGTATTACAAAGCCCCCACGTGGATGAAGATAAGCATATTGAGGAACAAATTTTATCTGTAGATTTTCAGTGGCAGATCGAAAATTTTCCGTTATAGTTTTCGTATCCCACTTGACGTTCGTTACAACTTTCGGATATATTATCAATAATCTCGAAAAATCAGTATGTTTGGTTGACAGAACTGTATTTCGATTTAACTGTAGATTTGTTGTCCCTTGAGATGTCACAATAGGTCGTGGTGGAATGACTATTTGTTGTGAATAGTTTATATCCTGATGATTCGAAGGATTCAGCTTCGTATTGGTTATTACTTGTTGAGCATAGGTTGGTGGCATTGAAGAAGAGATTATCGCTGTTGGTTGTACTGACAGTATTGGTGCTAGAGACCGACTCTTTTCTAAGTCATTCAGCCTTTTCTCAATATTAGTCATAAAATTTTCAATCATCTTCCATTGTTCATTAGCTGGACTACTTGTCTGACTATATTCAACACTGGAGACTAATAACTTATTAGTATAATTCGGCTTACAACTATTACAATATAGTTCTTGTTTCAACAAGGCAGCATTCACAGTTAAATTTGTTTCATCGTGATCGTTGACATGAACACATTTTAAATGGAAATATTCCACAAATGCTTTACATTTGAAGCCCAGAACTGATGCATTAGTGTTGCATAAATGACAAACAAAGTCTTGTCTAGGATTTGTACGACTTTCTCGCTCTTCTTCTTTTGCTGATGATTGACTTGTAGGTGTTGGACTTTTAAAAAACTCTGGCGGTGGTTTTAACCTCTTGCGAGGCATAATGAGATCCTTGACTTAAACCATAACAACAATACCAAGTTTTGGATATATGATACCGTATAACTAACAAGTATAATCCACAAAACCTAATAAATTTAATAAGTTTTAATAAATTTTTTAATTTTTATTAAAAAACAAGGAGAACGAAAATAGGTCTGATCGATCGAGCGAAGTGAAGTGAAGTGAAGTTTTGAATTCGAAATTGACCTCTTTTAAGTATTTCTAGTATAAAGTGCAGCAAAAGCAAACAAATGATCTAAAGAGTACGATTTCGACTCGAATCATATAAAAACGGACGACACAATCATCTACGATCTTTACCGAACGATTTTGTACGAAGAAAGAAGTTTGATATCCTAGATTATTCACAAATTCTACAACTTCATTATTTCTTACTAGCTACATCAAAAACACAAAATGTTTGTAGACACACCTTATCCAGCTCCTTCTACTTCTCATTCTTTTTCATCATGTTATTTATATATTTCTCCTTTCTCTCTATATGTGTGGGTATGGTGTCTGATTCAGGTTTCTGTTTAATGTGAATGATCTTATGTATTATTAGTTATGTCTTTCTTACTCACTATTTAAACTAGAAATTTTCTGTTGTCGAACAGTCAAAATGATGTCATAGGTCTATTCCTCTTCCTTTTTGCTGTTCTATATTTATTTGAAGCAAATTCTCTTCTTTTCTTTGCGAGCACTGTTTTTCAGAGCGGACAACTCTGATGAATAATAGAGAATGTTAATCAAATATTTACCAATAACGGCTAATTGTTTAAGTGCTATCGTGGCGTTTATTTTACATTTTCGAAACAAAATACAAGAAACCTGTATGTGATATTTCACGACAAAATGTCCCCAGCACAACCATTACCTAACGAAGTCTATAACTCATTTTAGAGAGCGTGTTGTCTGTTTTAGATTAAACGACGTGATGGAAGTAATTCGTCTTTTAAAAATATTTCGAATTTCTTGTCGATAAATTGAAGATACTGTAATATAAAGATAACAAGTTTGTGAATAATTCATTAATAAAAGTAACTGCGTTATTGTTACATAAAGATTTTCGATTGCTATGCGTGTTGGACTTTTATAAATGTTTAGTGTAGATGCAATATATATTTGTCGACTAGTGAACGGTATGAGTTCAAGAGCAGATGCAAAATATTGAATTAATAACATTAATGTCAATTGATAATCTGTGCGATAGTTTTGGTTTTGTTGTTGAATGGGTACTGTTCGTCGACGGGCTGATCGAACATTTTGACATGTTTTCAAACTAAATATATTTATCAGTGTTAGCGGTAATACACCGTAAAAAAGTGGATTGAAGAAATAGCCGGAATAGTCTGAGTATGTTTGTGATGTTATATTGCAGGAAGAACGAACGATGTTATAAAATATGAGAGTGGGTACACTAACAAAGACAATTGAGAGAACACAGATGATGCACATTCGATTAGCGATGGTTGCTGTACTAAATTTTCGAACATTGGCGTTGCGTGATGTTGAACAACATCGATCCAATGAAGCAAGTATGTTTAAGTAGAGAATGGATAGACCGCCTGTTTGATTAATGTAACTTCGTAATCGGCACCAAGTATCATTTGTATTGGCTGGATTTATTCCAAACCCATCTGCCATAATGCGTGTCAACAGTGTATTTGTCAGCACAATCACAACGATTACTGATGAGAGAATAATGTAGCGTGAACATGGACTGCGATTCATTGATCGGCGTGAGAAAATATACACATTTAATAGACTTCCAACAACACCGATTATATACACAAATGATCCAACATAAACATTTAATCGCGACGAAATGTAATTCAAAGTAATGGCTGTACTTGATGATGATGACATGATCAGCTACTAGCAATAAAGAGAAAGCAATGCATCACAACTTGGAAGAAATATTCGTCCCTATGAAGACTGTGTGAACGGCGAACCCTGATATCTATTATATTGTCTCCTTTCTCTGATGTTTTTCTCTGAGGTAGTGTGAAATTGATAAAAAAAAATTTATGCGAGGAGTAATGGACAGAATAACAACAGCTTTTTCAATTATTCGGGAGATGCGCACCCTCCCGTTATTTGCGCCTCTGCGTAGGGGTGGCACTTTACCTTTACTGTAGTAACGAAGTTAGTTACTTGGTTCCGTTCGTTACTTCACTGTAAAAAGTGTAAGGTAAATTAACATTATCTTCGGTTATTTTTTCATTATAACCTAAGCTAATACTACCCACTCTGTCTTTTTGGTAGTTTTATTCTTTGTATTAATGTTAATCTGCTCTATCGACACTTTTACTGTAAAAGTCAGCCTGAAAGAATACCTTGCTTTAATGTTAATTCAAACTAAATACTTTATAATTTTCGTTTAGTGTGAACTGACATTAAAATATAGATATTCGCCTATATTGACACTGAAGATTGGTTTCTATTTACATTAGAGCGAAAATATGACCTCTCAGACACGTGTGAATTTATCTTTTGAGGAAAGTATACATGAACGATAAAATGAATTTACATTATACTGGATTATCTTTTCTTCTCTGATTTCGGTAGTTTTCTGATACGTAGTAATGTTAATGTGCTTGATCGCCATTTACTTTTTAAAAGTCAGTATGGAAAAACGTCTTACTTTAATGTTAATTCACGCTTAAGTTCTTATAATGCCTTTGATATAAATTCACATTAGAATATAAACGTTATCTTATATATAATTAACATTAGAGACTCGTGTTATTATATTCAATATTATAGATTATACGCAACCAATAATTAATGTGTATAATATTTATATTATTATGTTAAAAATTAGCGTTTTATAATTGACATTTTCTGTTGTGTGAGCTTTTTTTCTAACATAATCACACGTACATTGATGAATTTTTGTTTTTGTGGTACCAGGAACAAATATAAATTAAATAGCTTTTTTGGAGCATACAGTTCTATCGATAGCAGTCTGTACCATAATTTTGCAAAAATAGATAATTTAATAATGTATAGATGTATATAAATAGATAGATAATAGCAATAATTTTTTCTGTAAATTTTCTAAACATTGAGACAAAATGAATTTACACCGAGAAAGGTTTTAGAAGATAAATCAACCGTATGCTTTAATGTGAATTAACACGATAGAAAAGTTTTTAAAGAAAATCTATATATAACCTAATATTTAGTGTAAACTTATCATAGTGGAAAATTCACACGAAGGTGGTAGGCTGCCCCCAAGATCTAATGTGAATTTTTTTAACAGTGTTGTCCAGAAAGTAATGAAAAACCGTTACTTTCTGGAAGAGTAACGAAGTAACGACATGAGTCACTCGTTACTAGTAACTAACTTTGTTACTAAACCTAGTAAAGTAACGCCGAGTAATTAATAAAGTGCCACCCTCATTTTAAGTCAGTTATAGTTTTCATAATGTCAAATAAATATACGCAAACACAGATATGCTTTTTAAATTAGACTTTCCACTTGGTTTGTGATTTTTTACGCGAAAACATATTGTCACCAGATGCATCGTAGTCGATATCTATATGACACTGGTTACCTCAAGTCAACAGACACCATTTCTGGACTCCTGGCAAATGACCTCATGTCTCTTCTGTCGAATAGTGGAAACCGCAATATCGGCATATATTATACTATACTTTCAATTGGACAGTACCTTAGACATATCTCATACTCATAGAGAAGTCTTAACAATGCGTGTCTAACACGATCCAATTTTGATGAAAAAACAACTTTTTGTCTAATATTTTTAAGAAAAACTACGGTAAAATGTTTTCTCAGTTTGTTAACGGAATGTTGATTCCGATTATATATAAATTTATAGAACAGATGGAGAACAAAAAATATCTTCTTATTCCCTTCTCTCGCATTAGACTGAATGACAATCGAGAATCGCAATAGATTTTGCTAGTAAACGTTGTTATAAATCAGCAAAACTGAGATTGAATATGCATTAAATTCGAAAGCAAAATTCGGCAGCCTAACATTAGTACTGATCTTTGACAAATGAACGCCAGAACTTCCAGAGGTATCGGATGAGAAAACCGATCTCCAAAATAGGCCATTTTTCATATTCGACTAGCTTTTGAATTCAACCGTACAACAACTACAAAAATTGTACGAGATGAATTCATAGTTTATAGCAGAGATACACCTAAACAATACATATAAGTAATATTAAATGCAAGATATTTTTTAGGTAAAAAGTAATTATGCGAAAGTCTTCGCGCTAGTGAAACTCCTGCTTCTTCTGCGCATATGTTTGCACATGTGGGACGGTTAGTTTTGCGCAGCACTGGTCTATAAATAGTACTCAACTTCGACTACTTATGCTCCAAATGTGGACTCTTGATCTACGTCCTAGAGTAGGATATATACCAAAGAAATTCCACTTTTATATATAACCGTTTGAAACTGTTTTTCGGACTTTTACAAAAAATTCCATACCTTTTGAAAGGAACTTCTGGTGAAAATTCTTTGGGAATAGTCCCAAGTACGCCGCTGATACTTATTGTTCGACTATGAACCAAAACTATGACATTGATTGACCAAATTAGGTCGGCTCTAACGTGCAATGGTTCTTAAAGAATATGTGTCAAACCAGTTGCGATTGTCCCATGCTTGATACAGATCAACTCTCCCCTAATCTCAGGCGCTTGTAAAGCAGGAAGACTCTGAATGAAAAGATAAGATCCAGAAAAGTCTGGAAAAGTGTATCATACCTAAGGATGTGCGGTAACCGCTAATTTACTGTCGGTAACGGTAAAAGTCCCTTTACCGAGGTAACGCTAAGATGAATTTACTGAAAAACAAGATTACAGCACCAGGGATAAAAAATATTTACTGAAGGTCCGGTAAATATTTTTTACCGAACTTATTTCTGATATTTTGTTTCTGTAAGTCGTTCGAATTCTGATCATTATTAATTGCGAGCTGCCCACTGATCGTATTTTTACTCTAATGAAAATAGACCTTT